AGGCGGCAGTGGGTTGGTAGGGGGTAGTGGGGTGTTTTTCTCTCTCACACACACCAATCTCCCTCTCTCTCTTTTTTTTTTTGGCTCTCTGTTATTATTTTCTGGTAATTCTCGAGTGTTTCTGTGAGTCTTTCGCCCTCTCAGTGTTTTGATTGCTAGGAGGCAAACCAGCGTGGAGGCGGCGGCGACACTTTGTTTACTACTGAGGAGCAGAGCCGAGTAGTCGGGAAGCCCGAGTGGAACGAGTCGCTGGCTTGGCCTCGACCTCCGCTCGCGGCCCCAAGCCGGGTGGGGCGGAGGAGGGGGCCGGGGACGCTCCGCGCTCCGGGGGCGCTGAGTGGGCGGGCTGAGGTGGCCTCGCGGAATTCTGCTCAATCGCCCCCTCTCGACTCCACCCACGATTTCTTTACAGGGAGACGTGGGGAAGTCGATGGGTTTTGTTTTTGTTTTATTTTTTGCTTCTCTCTGCGGTATGTCGAGCCCTCCGGCCCCCGCGCGGGCTACACACGCCCCCGGGACCGGGACTCTGACCGTGAAGTCCACGCGGAGGGCGTCCTCGCCGCCGCCTCCGCGCCCGGAACCCACCTGTCCGGGCTGAGACTCTGCGGTTGGGTCCAGCCGGGGTCCAGCTGGGTGGCCCCGCAGCCACCAGCCGGGCTCGGTACATTTTTGACCTAAAAGACTAGATACGAGGCGAAGGGGCTCGGCGCGAAGCGGGCCGGAGGTCGTCCTATTTCACACGCACCCTCAAACCCAAAGGCATCCTAGATCTCGTGCCTTCTGTGGGAATCTCTTCCCCTGGGCGGGAACCCCAGACTCTGTCCACTGAGTCAGTCCAGGGGTGACGGGGAAGGGGTTAGAGAAGAGCATCTAGTGAGAGCATTGTCACTATTATTTACCCTAATTAAGTTTAACTGTTCGCTTGTCATTTTTTTGCTATTTGGAATGTAAGTGCTGAGGTGCTGAGAAGTAAAAACGTTAAGAGGAAATAGGACCAAAGCCTTGGGGCACAGCCCTGCCCCACTACCAGGTGTTCCTTTAGGCTTCCCCGTTCGTCAGTCAACCCTCTCCCCCCCACATTCACCCCACCTTTTGCCATCTGGGCTCCGGGTCTTGGACGTCCTGTCGAGATCAGTGGGGCCAAAGGTGGGAAGACAATGGCCCTTGTGTCTCAAGGAGCAGAAGAAAGAGTTGTCAACTTTTGTTTTTCTTTTGCTTTTTTTAGGAGGAATATGGAAGTTATTTCCTTTCAGAGGGATGGGATCACTTAAGATGGAAGATTGACGGTAGGGTTTTAAATTTCTTGTCCAAAATGACAGCTCCCAATTCCCCCATACCCCTTTTTCTGACAGGCAATTCTTCCATTGAAAAAGTGGCATCTAAAAGGCCTCTTTTACAAAAGTTTGATAAGACTTAGAGAAAGATTTATTTCTTCCTTTACGTTCTCACTTGTCCAGTCTCCTATTTCTTAATAATCCACTGATCACAACAGCTTCCTACCGATATTGGGGCTGGTTGGGGTGGAGGTCGTGAGCCTGATGGATTGAGGGGTTGGTTCCCAACCTCCTTATCTTGTCTCTGCGTTTATGATCAAATTTGAACAGTTCGGGCCTCCTCTGCCAGCCGCTAGGGGCCCTCAGTAACCCAGATGATGGGCTGAAAGGAAGGCCAGTAATGTAGAACTGTTGCTACCCTCAACCTTTCCGTCTGCATTCTGCAGAGGCAACCCCCATTCAGAAGGCCGCACCCTACACATAGGCGGTGCCCTGGTGGATCATTCTTGGCAAAGGAAGCCAGCTGCAAATTTGGCCTTGCCTTCATTTCAATTCCGGTTTCTCAGGGCCTCAGTTGGAGGAAAGTATACTTGGTTAAGGGAGTTTTCTTACAGACTTTCCCCAGATCCTTGAAATCTTCTGAGCTGTCCTGCCTAATTTTTCTTTATATGTCATATTTGCTTTTCTTTGGTCTTTTTAAAAAAATTGACCGAGTACCTATTGCACCAATGTACCTGATACATGTTCCAAAAAATTAAAAATAACACATTTAAAGTTCTTAGAACTGCCTACCATACCACTGTATGTATCAGCTCACTGAACCCAGGGTGCTAATGGACATTTGGCTTGTTTCCACTCTAGCTATCACAACCTATTCTGTAATGAATAACATTATAGAACTCATTTTGCATATGTGCAAGTATCTCTATAGGAGGAATTTCCAGAAAAGAGATCACTGGGTCAGCAGTTAAATACATTTGAATTTTGAGACGATGCCAAATTGCCCTCCATAAGAGTTGTATCAAGCCCAACTCTTTTCAGCTAGACCTTTAGAACGTTAAAGTTGAAGGCAAACTTGGAGATCACCCTGGTGGTCCCTTTAACTTATACATAGGAAAATTGAGGCACAGAGAAGCTAACTGATTTGCCCAAGTTCACACAAATAACAGTGGAGCTTCAATTTTTTCATTAATAATCTTCTCAATTCACAGAAAAGAATAAATACCCTGTAATCCCAATGTATCAATAACTGCAGTAAGACTTTGTGGTGTATTCCTCTCCAGTCAATCACACAGATTTTAATAATTTTACTTAGATAAACTCCATTGAGCTGAAAGTTTTGATTTCAAAGATTTTTTAAAAGCAGACACACAAGGTTAAGAGTGATAGATAATAAGAAATGATTACAAAAGAAGTGGTTTTAGTTTTTTAGTCAAAAAAAGTAAATGTTTCCTCTCTGAAGAATGGCAAAGGATTTAGGTTAGCACTAGTTCTGCATAAGAGAAAAAGATTATTTCTTTTCTCCTTCAGTATTTTTTTGTGGTACCTGTTCGCTTTGAAGGCTTTTTCTAATGAGTCTCACTTATTAATAAGTAAATGAGAATTATCATCATTGGTGCATGTGACAAAACTGGGAAGAAAAATGCTTCATGTGAGATAAAGACAATTAAAATGAAAAAGGAAATTTATCCTCACAAAGCCCATCTCACAAACCAACGTGGTATACTTTCCTCTGCCTCTTTTCAGGGTAATTATTACATCATCCTTGACAGGAAGACTGACGGATGGTTCTCTTTGATCAATTCCCAAGCAGAAATTTCTGTATTTACCCCTCACCACCAACACACCAATCTCTGGTTTAAATTCTTTCTTGTCAAAGTAGGTAATGTAAGTCCAGTGTAATGAGTAAAACACCTGGGTGTTTATTTTTCAGTCACAACACTGAGCTTCCCACTCCACCTTTCCATTCCCCAACAACTGCCCATGTCCAGTATTTTGTCTGAATCATTAGAGGTACTGCTATCAACTTAAAACAGCCCTTCTTCAGTTTGCCCATAGAATGTAATCATCTGAAACAACACAGCTTCGGCTTCTTAAACCAATGTCTTGAAACCTGGCCTACTAGGTAGAAGCTATAGCAATATCACAAGTAGTCATTCATTTTTCTTGAGGGGTAACTTACTTTGGATTTTGTCATTCATTCAGCAAATACTTGTAGAGTACCTACTATGTACATGGCAGGCGCCATGCATCTTACAATACAAATTCCTTGAGGTCATATATGGGTTATTTTATTTTCCTTTATATGCTACTTGATGTCAGAGGTAAGACTATATCACTCTTTAAATAATCAGCAATGCGTATTGACAATATTTATTTGAAAGAATAACACAGAAAAAGTATCTGCTGGATACAAGAAATGCTAAGGCAGGAGAGAATGGACATATTATCATAGTCACCATTTTGAAGAAAAATAATAAGGTGAGGTAGAAAAAGCTGCATAAATGCATATGTGTAGGCATTGGGAATGTGAGCCCCACCCCCCAGGGGTTGGAATGATTTTGCTCCAAATGGACAAAAGACACAGGCTACTATTTATTTGTGTATCACAAATAAAGATGACACTTACTCATCTGTAACTGGAGAGAAGTACTGGGCAAATCATAAACCAGATGTCCAATATTTTCAGTTCTGTTGTGAGGATCCAACATTTGTCAGCTTCGATAAACTCTATTCCTTTGCTTTAAGTATTAGTGAGAAACTACTTGTGGGTCCCTACTGCAATACTAAAAATATAATTGGAGATAATCTAAATGACCAATAATAGAGAATGGTTAAATAAAGAATGGCGTATCTGGTAGACGCTTACGTAGTCACTTAAAATTAAGTGGACC